TGGAGAGATTCAAAGATATTCTATTACTGAGTGCTTGACTAAGTATTGACGACATATTATTTCAAGCAACATGATTTCTCAATTTTGACCGATGCATTCGCATCGTTGGCATCGGTCTGGATCCGCCCCTGGTGATGCGTCATCTTTGGTTGTCTTTTTCTTTGACTTGGATTTCCTTTCTTTTTTTTTGTACTTGATCTTCCTCAGTTTTCTGGTTTGATATTGCGCTTGATTCGCCTCCGTCTACTTGCTCGTTTTCCAGTACCAAATATTTGTTCTTTAATTTTATATTCGGGTTTATAATATCTTTTGACTGGGTTTAGGTAACGTGGGGATATATAACGGGTTCTACTTACTCATAAAGTATTTAAATTGTATAAAATGTATCGATTGACACTCAACTCTAGAAATATCACTATGATATATCAGATTTATTTATGTAGAAAAGTGTTAATGGATCCAAAACTTGGCTTAATCAATTTCAAACCCTTTCATTAATAGAAAATAGATAGATAGATAGATAGATAGATAGATAGGTAGGTAGATAGATAGATAGATAGATAGATAGATAGATAGATAGATAGATAGATAGATAGATAGATAGATAGATAGATAGATAGATAGATAGATAGATAGATAGATAGATGGATAGATAGATAGATAGATAGATAAATAGATAGAACAGGTTTAATCAAATCGTAAATTCCAGTTAGCATAACACATATAATATATTGTTAGACATTCTCAACAAATTATTCTTAGGCTTGTTCTGATTTAAAAGCTGCCTAGTTGCTTATTATTTCATATTTCTATAGTGACAATCGAAGTGACAACCGATGTTAGTTTCATTGTATGCGTCTCATCCGGAAACGCTTATTAGCATAATTAACGTATAACACTAACTTTGTGTTGTATAATGCGTACAACGACGGATGCGGCGAGTCCCTTTCGTTGCATATTTTTGGAAGCCTGTGCAACTTTCTTGCTTCGGCGGATCGCGCGCGCTAGTACTTGCTAAAGGCGGATTTCCATTCAGTGGAATAAGTCGCGCGCTCGACTTTTTGCCATCACTTCTTTTGAATACAAGCAATCAAGCGCAACGGATGAGGTTGACTACACGCTTTTGAAAGAAAGTGATCGCAAAAAGTCGATCGCGCGACTTTTTCCACTGAATGGAAATCCGCCTTAACGCGTCAGCATTAGGGAGGTCTATAAGCACTGGAGAAATCACGAAGTCCGGGTCTTTCTTTATCACGTACAAAATACGCTGAATAGTAATTTTTGGGATGGTCTGACGGAGTTCAATTAAATGCCGCATTGCTCTTCTCTAGCTTTCCGATAGCTCGCCACCTTGATCTAGTGGACAATTTTTTAGTCATATGGAAGTGACTAAATATACCGCCCTGTTCATTAGCCTCCGAAATTCCCACCCACTGAGTGCTCCTTCGTACCCATGCGTCGACAATTATATCTGCAAATTCTGCTCTAGAAAGATGGGAAATGTCACATTGACTATTGGTGATTATAAATCGAACGTTCTTTACCGAATTAGTAGTTGACTCAGCCCTTACCCGCATGCGAAAGTAACCGGATGTGATATTACTATGCTATAAATTAACAATATGTGTGACATACAGTATCTAGCGTAAAACATTTGCAATACCTATCTTTATTGACGGACTATAACTTCTCAAATAACCTACTTGTTCTCTGCCGAAATTTGTAGAAACAAACAACGTATGAAACTTTTTGATTAAGAATGCTATATGACATAAAAATTATATTCATATTCTGTTGATTATTAACTTTGAGAATGTTAATGAAACTGAATTGTTCTATAATGTTATATTAGATCTTCTGTAAACGAAATGGAGCTGAAATACTTCGTTCGTAGAGCATTCTATCCCCTGTACTTTTGAGATGTACAATGATGTTATGGCATATGGGGCTGAGACAATCACTTTCAGAAGTTGTTGAGACACATGTAGTTTTAGCTGGTAAGTGGATCTTTACAGCTTTTTACATACAATACCGCTCCCCCGCTCACCTCCCCCTCCCCGCACCCCAATCAATGTTGTTTAAACCGAAACGCATTACATCCGACGAGAAATGGGACACAACACTGAACAGGTGGGGGGGGGGGGTGGATTGTCGTTTGTTGAAATTCAAAGGTTTGTCACAGGGGGTCCAACTAAGAGCTGTGTTATGAATATGAATAAAACATTAATTAAACGTAATATGAATAAAACATTATTACGTAATCTATTTAAATTATTGGACTTACTTGTATAAATCATAAGAGCTTGCCTTTGCACTGAATAGCTTCAAACAGGGCGCTTATATATGCTCAGAAACATTGCTTTGAACGATTGTTCAAATATGGCGAATAAATTGACAAAACCAAAATATTACATGACGTTCCAACGAAAATAACAGCAGGGATTGTGGGCGCGAGCGGAAGGCGAGAAATATAAACTGGTTTGTTCGTTTCTTTTAATAATATCAACCCCTAGTATACAATGTAATGTTTCTTTTCTCTCCGTCCATTCCCGCCCTTTTTAACTATCCCCATCGCTCCTGATGTCCCGCTTTGTCCAACATTAACACAATATATACATACTGAAAACATCATCCCCTATCACAAATAGATAAAATGAATACTGTTCGTAAACATTCGTGTTTACTTGTAAACTGGAATGGTTGTCCGTTTCCGTTGACTTCGTCTAGGCGGTGGTGCTGTATCTCTCTTTTCCAGGCAGTAGCTCTCGTCGTCGTCATCGTGCTCAATTACTTCTGGCCATTGGATGTCGGCGTACTGCATGCACTCCTGTTTCTCTTCGCGGTTGTCCGGTCGACTTTTCGAAGGTTTGAGATCATCCGGGTAGCGACACAGGGTGAGACCGCTTCCTTCTTGTTGTACCGTGACTATGTTCCCCACCCTGTTCATATCAATGATCTCGAACGCTTCCTGGAGGAAGAGAGTGTCAAACTTTCTTGATTTATTGTAGTTTCTGATCAGGAGATTGTCGCCGATTATGAAATGAGATTTCTTCCGGTACTTGGAACCATTTACTTTACTTTCATTTTCCATTTTCTTCTTCTGGTCTGCTTCTCGTACCCTGCTCATCTCTTCGTCTGTTGCGTGTCTTCTAGGAAAGTCCAGGCATTGTCCATAGCGGAAAATCGTAGCTGCCGGTGGAAGATTGGTTGCCGGGTGGGGTGTCTGTCTGTAGTATTTCAAGACATTTTTTAGGCTTTCTTTTTCAGGAATACCGCTGTGACGCCCAGTTTTCGTAGGCTTGCCCAAGGGCCGCAAAAAGGTTTCGACTGGGTTCGAGGAGGGGTGTAGTGGTGGTGATTTCTGTAACTTGATGTCTTTGGTCTTGGCGAAGTTTTGCATCTGAATGCTGTTGAATGGTGGACCATTGTCTGAGATCTGTACATCTGGGTTGCCGTATGTTTCGTAAATTTCTGTCAAGGCTGGTATGACTTTGTCTGCCTTTGTTGATGTGACTAACTTTGCTGCAGGGTATCTTGACGCTAGGTCTTGTACTACCACCACATGTTTAGATAATGGCATTGGTCCGAATAAATCCACTGCAACTGTTTCCCAACACTTCTCTGGTACTCGGTGTGGTTTGATCGGCTCCTTCGTCTTCTTATCCACAAATACATTGCAGTCACTGCATGACTTTACAAACTCTTCCATCTTCTTATCCATGCCGTGGAAGAAGAAATGATATCTAAGCCGTCGCTTCAACCCCTCCTGTCCGGGAAGGGCT